CTTGGGAGGTCACATCTAGTCCAACCCTTTCTCTATTACTGTAGTCAGCATTGTGATCTCCATCACACTCCATCTTCAGGGTTTCTGGAACCTACTGTTCCAGCCAGGGCTTTGTCTTCCTTTATTAATAATTGCAGTAATATCTCACGGGTGCCAGGTGCTCTATGAATGGCTAGTGAGACACTGCTCAGGCTCCAAAGAGCTTCCAGGCTTAACCAGGCGAAATGTAACAGGGAGAGGAAGCAGATATATGGGGCTGGGGAGGGTGGATGGAGTGACTGTAGCAAAAAGCAAAGCTTTGGTAGATGTGACGTGCACGGCGAGCGGTTTGCATGTTTGCTAATGGATGAGCAGATCAGGAGCAGTGATCTCAGCTTGCCACCTGCCTCGCCACTAAGTAATAGTGCTCTGCATACATCAAGCTAGCAGTGAGGCTTAACCATGGATTCAGAGAATCAGATAGTGGCTGTAAATGCACCGAGTTCCCCCTGGATTAGAGAGAAACAGCTGATCAAGGCACCCTGCACGTTAGCCCTAAATTCTGCAACGAGGCTCCCCCTACCACATCCAGCAAAGTGGGGGTCACACAGTGATGTTAAGTGATTGCACTACTGCACTGGCCGGTGGGACTCTGTAAGACTTCGTTCTAGCAGCATCGTCTCCCTGCACAGTCCCACGTCCCCTAGACCACGTTCCCTGCCTGTGACAGGGAAAGCAAACTTGCAGAAACAAGAGCACCCAGGACTTGGTCAATGAGCTCAGCCCAGCCAAATAGCAGAGGTCAGAGAGGAAAGGGCAGACAGCTCCGATTTTGTTTTCTTCACCCTGCTCCACTGATGGCACGTTGATGTTTCTTCCCTGACAGGTCCATAAATGCTACCCCTGCAGTCTCTCCATACAGACTTCCCTTGGGGTGCACTTCAATATTCAGCAGGTGTTTGGCCACTTCATCGATTCTCTCCCTAAGGATGTCACGCCCGCAAAAAGCCCTCAAAAGCTGGGCCAGTTCTGTCCTAATGAACAGGAGGAAGATGCATGTACCAGTAGCTCCCCCAGTGTCTCACCTCACCTTGCCCAGGTGGTCATCTCTCCCGAGATTCCTTACCAAACTCTGGCCGATTTTGTGACGAAATCTCAACATCTGCACAGCTCTAGCCCTGGTCACTACGAACGCCTGGCTTGCCTCCTCCTCCTGCAGCTGTGCACTGGGCTTGAGTATCTCAAGAAGCAAGAAGTTCTTCACTACAACATCTGCCCAGAGAACCTGCTCTTGGTGCACTGTCCATTTCCTCCCCAGGGCCAGCAGGACAGAGATCGGGCCCCGGAGTTGCTACTTCCAAGGTTACTCATCAGCAATTTCTCCAAAACTGTAGGAAAAAGAAGACCTGCACTTCAGACTCAAGAATCAGATCGGGTCCAAAATACAGATGAGCTCCAAGTAGTCCTCTTAATCTATGAGATCTTGCATGCAGCCGACTCCTTGGAGAAGGCTTCAGGGCTCCGGAGGGATGACCTGCCCGCCATCCCAGCCCTGTCTGTCTATTCGCAAGGGCTCCAGCAGCTGGCCACCCTGCTTCTCCATCCGGACCGCCACAGGAGAGTGTCTCTCCAGCAAGCGAAGAACGTTCTGCAGATCTTGCTGTGGGGGCCACGCCAGGAGCTTTTTGCCAGGAACCCAATGACAGACGTCTTGCTCCAGAACTGGATTGACATTAAGAGGACACTGCTGCTGCTGAAGTTTGCAGAAAAGTTGACAGAGGCAGAGGTGACGCTGAGTCTGGAGGAGTGGCTGTGCTGTCAGTACTTGAAAGAGGTCACCGCATATACCCTACACCCAGTGGTCAGGATCCTGTACGCAGTATAAAGCCAGGTAGCATTTAAAGACCCCTCAAGACCAACAGAAAGGGTCAACACCTTGCACCTCGGTTATGAAATACGTGGATTTACTGGGCTGAAAGGCACATTGCAGGCCTTCAATTCTTCTAAAGAGACACTGAGCAGCAATTAGCTGGTGGGAGGAGAAGGGGTCGTTAGACATACGGCACTACCGTGCTGCCTACTGTGAAGTGTCTACAATGCCTTGACTAAAACTAGAGGGACCTTGGGTCAGGCTGGTGCTCTGTATCATCCCTCCGGGAAGCAATTGGGCTACCTGTTCCTAGCCCACAGACACAATGCGCTGCCTGGGTAACTCGCCCACAGCCTCCCTTCCCTAAGGAGTCCCGTCCTACTCCTGTTGACTGGTGACGGAGAACGCCCAGATCTTTAATATCTGCACTGGGATCTTCGGCCTGCATTTCTTCTCCCTCTGGGTCCCATTCCTGTGACTCTAGTGAACTGCTCCCCGCAGCTCAGGACTCTTGCACTGTATTTTTACCCTTGCTGTAAGCTCCTTCAGCCAATTTTCAGTCTAGGACAAAGGAGCCTGAACCCAGTTCACTGCAGTTGCACAAAATATTTTGCCCCTGAGCCAAGTTTTCAAGTGTTTACTCGCTTCCTAACTCAGAGTAAGGGTTTTTTGCATTTAGACACAAAATCTTCCTTGAAACAAAAATATTCCCCTGCATACTGGTTCTTTAATTTTGTTAATCTAAAGAGAGAGATTCGTTTGTCTGACGGGTTACATGATTAAGGAGAAATACGATTCATCCGACAGACCCATTCTCCTTGGAAACAATTTGTTGCATAGTCATTAACATAAATAATAGTGCACCAGTAGTCACGTAGCTGAACAGCGTCAATAAACCTAGAATCCTGCTGAATCTTAAGTACTGCCCATTTACGATCTTTCTTTTTACAGCGTTATGAAGCCAGAAGATATGTTCAGGGGGAAATAAAGAGCTAAGCTTCACTGCTCTGTAGTGATTAGTCATAATGGATAAGAGAGTGCAATAAATAGTGCGAGTCAGTTTATGGCTGCTGTACGTGGAGCTCACCACTGCAATCAGGTCTCTGGATGTTCATTAAGTACCACGGGGCTGAAAAAGCAACAGCATTTGCAGATCAACCTCTGCATCCCAACCTACACTGAACCAGGACCCCAGAGACCTGTATTTGGACTCCCTGGGCTCTGTTGTCTGCAGCGTGATCTAGGTGCTGTCCTCTATGGTGCTGAACTTTGTAAGACTTTAAGCAGAGCTCAGGCTCCCAAGCAGTCAGCAGCAGCTACAGTCGGGGGGGGGGGG